GTATAGGGTTATGTTTACGTACGCTCACCGCGGAAATACGTACACAATCAGTTAATGAGCGCGTTGTACCGAATACCGTGGAAAATAATTATTTACTCAAAATATACACAAATATTTCTGTTTGAATTGCATCTACATTAACGTCATTTTAGATTATTAAAATTGAAAAATTATTTTATATGAAACATTTCTTATTTTGAGCAAGTAATCATCAGTTTTTCAAAATCCACGGTAATATGGCAGAGCACGGAGATAGATACACTTACCCCTACATCGTTTAGGCGAAGCTGCGTGATTAATAAAGAATAAAAATAATTAATTGCGAAAAAATGATCAATTGAGCTTTACTGGGTGACAAAAAATTTGGAGAGATGTATGATGTAAGTATTTATCAAAGAAATAAATAACATATGTGTGGTACAACATATGAAGGTAATAATACTATCACAAAGAAATTTGAGAAAACAAATCTTGACATAGAAAAACATGTACTAGATGTTACAAAAAGTAAGAAGTTCAAAATATTACAATCGTTAAAAAATCGTAAGAACAGAAAAACTTACAAAGTATTTAGATAGACACAGAAAGGTGAAAATATTCCTTTATCTGTTAGAATTAGATGCTCAAATATAAAAAAATTCTGGTTGGACGAGTCAGACACGTATGCTGCGTAAAAAAGAAAGTGTTGGAAACGAATGACGAAATGGTAAAAAAATAGAGAGAGTTTTTTGAAGAACTTGATAAAAATATGTACATTAATGACATTAACAGCGAACTGGGTATTAGTGACGTAATTAGACTGTTACAAAAAATTAGGAAAATAATTCAAAAATATTTTAAGACGAAATAGTTAACGGTGATAACAAATGTAAAACACGATTCAAACCAATAGCACGAGTATGATGAGTGTAAATATCACGGTATGAAAAATTATGGGATAAGACTGGATTACAAAATTAATCGTTCGTTAACCAAGTCCTTATCTACGATGATAGGCTGGTGATTAATCAATATATACACATCAAATTTATATACTATCTCAGGATCATTTACTTATTCTCGATCTAACAATAGAAATAGTATAGCTTTCTGGAGGTGTCATAGAAAATTTCCATTTGAAAATCTGTTATCGGCAAATCACACTCTCTTCCTCACATTCTTTCGAGTAATTCAGATGTATATTTACATATTCAGGCGTCACAAAGAATATATATGATGGACATCACACACTGTTGATTTTATCCTTTGCATGCAACTCATGTGACTGACATTGCTTGATTTAACGAAGAGTGTATGCAAAAAAAGTAAATTGTTTCATTAAATAACTATAGCACTGATAAACAGATACGATCATTCAATTTGCTAATGTTAATAACTGCTTCCATCTATAAGTACGTACCTATACATTAATTATCATTTTGTATACTTAAACCGGATCGTAGGATGATAAGTGAACGCAAAGAAATGAAGAGAATTGAATTACTTTGTCAGCAATGAGGAAATAAAATACTTCAACTGCTGTTTAACCTTGAGCTGCCAGGTTGAAGCATCTGTATTTTTTTATTTTTTACCATCATTAACGATTCTCATGGAATTCAACAGCATTTTATACCAGAATTTCTTTTTAAACGTATAAATCTATGTATAAAACTTTGAAAAAACGCTAAATTTCAATAATTGTCTCGAAAAATGCTCGTTTTTATTCAAGGATCCCGTAGTCGTCATAGAAAGTCCAATCAGCAAAGCAAACACATTGACAACGACTCATCATTGCTTATCACCAAAGCAAACACGCGTAATACGATCAGAGCAGCTGATTTATACACACCAAAAAACACTCCTACTTCAATAGAAATACAAATGTACAAAAACTACATGGCTGATAATATTATGTAGTCTTTTGTGCATTCATCTCAATTACACGCCATATCCCACAAGTACAATGTAAGGAGGAAGAAATTGCAGAGGCCACGTACGTATGGACCTTACCTTCTCAATGATTGTGACATGCGTGCAGTGAATTCTGTAGTAAAAACTCAAGGTGAATAAAGATAGTTGCTGGCTTCCATGCCAGGACCCGTGGCTATTATACGTATTGTATGTAGAGATTCGAGTGCCTTTTACTTGATTTCTACACGTACACGCGCTCCAACACACCGTCCGTCGGAGGACGTTGCACCCTATTAAAGTTATACTTGACTGGAAGGTATTTTTGAATGCACGGGTGTGAATACGGGAGGTCGAAAGAATTTAGTGATACTCGGATTTTTTTTTTAGGTTTGATCAAATAAAAATCATTGCAAGAGCAAAAAAAACTGTTTTCATCGATGTAACGTTAACTTGATTAATTTACTAGCAAACAACGCAGATAATGCACCTTCGTATTTTTAGAAAGCAGCAGCATCATAAAACTGAATTTACTGCACTTCTCGGATCTGATAGGATTTTTTACTTTTACACTTTTTTTATGAGAAAAAAAAAATTTATCTCGTATCCTCATAATTTTTTGTTAGCGAAAAAATTTCTTAAAAACTTTTTAAAATTGTTTTGTTGTTTGAAACACACGAGTTTTCCTATAATTCAACTGCATATTCAAACAGTCTATCGTACCAGCTTGTCTGAATGTTAGTGTTTTATTTTACCTTTTAGCGATCCGAATGCAATTTTCTCTCAAATACTGCTTTTTTAATAATATGGATCACAATAGCCCATAGAACGAAAAAATTTGAAAAAGCAGCTAATGGTTTTTTGAGTTGGAGAAGCAGATTATTCGTAGAATTTTATTTTCTTTTAATTTTAAAACTTCAGCCACTAAGTTTTCGTACGCACTTAGTAATTAAGTAAAAAAAGCATAAAAACTATTCAAGTATCAGATAACTCAAGAAATTGAAATTGTTGTAGAAAAATCTTTTTTTTTAATTTCTGTGAAATCTTTCTTTTATTAATCTTGAAAGTGTTTATATGTTTGAAATTCTTCAAT